TGGTTGCCGATGAACCACACCAGGTTGGAGAAGTACGGCGCCTGCTCCTCGTCACCCACAAAGTTTCGCGTGGGCGGATCATTGACTGTGGAGTGGTTCAAATACACACTCAGGGTTTAGGGTTACATTGACTGCTGAGTGGTTAAGATATACACAAAGGGTTTTGGGTTAGATTGACTGCGGAGTGGTTGGTCTTGGGTATAGGTACACACACAAAGGGTTTTTAGTGTGAGGATTTAAGGCTTAGGGTTGAGGGTTAGATTGACTGCGGGATAGTTGGTATTGTAATGGTACACACAAGGGATGTGAGGCTGTGAAGTAGTTGTAAGCGCACGACACACCTGTGCGCGCACGCGCTCAACTGTACTGTTGTGTGGATATGAACGTGCATAATCTTAAAAAGTTCTCCGTTGAGTATCTATGACTGGGTCGGCGGAACCACTACGTTTGTATGGTGACGGTAGATACAGGCCATAGTTATCGAGCGCCACGGGTTGGCTGGTAAATGCAATAGAGTCTGATTACGTATACTACTTTACTACCTCCCACTTGATGCAGATTCTACTTATGACAAGCCCTGGTCTCATTGGATGGGTGGCGATACCAGCTACTACAGCGATGCCGCTGAGATGAAGCGGGTTTACATTCCAGGTACTGGAATAGGGGTGAACGAACACGTGGTTGTGCACATACACAACGCCCTGTTCCTTACTTCTACATGCGTGAATCATGTGATCCTTGTATGACATTGTGGCAGTGTTTTAACATGCATTAACTATGCAATCCTTCTATGACATCTTGGCAGTGTTTTATAAACGGGGATCCAGGTACGAGAAATTTGTAGGGGAAGGCAACGCGTACCTTTGAATATATTCAATACGATGGTACGGACGGCGATGCGAACCATGCTCTCCTTGTGGTTGAAGAACTTGATAGCCTCGGAGTATAAGGGGAAGTCTTCTTGATGCTGGTACCAAAAATAACGGTCGTTGTGCGTAGTGTATACAGACACGTAGAGAAGACAAAGCAGATATAATTGCGGAAAATGAAACAACAAGCACCGAGTTGAAGAGCTCATCTTCAGGCCATGAGAAGGGCGCGTGTTCACAGGGAACATGCAGGGGAGAGAAAACCCAAGTTCTAAATCGATGTAACGATTGGACTGAGATATCATGCAACTGATTGCCAGGAAGCACGTGGCACCAGTGTAGCTACGATGAAGACGCACAGCGCACACCAGTGTACAGAGTTTGCGCGAGATTGGTGCTATGCGATCGGGCTGACTTTTTTAAACCCTTCATTTCTCGTGAGATAAGACGTATTCCTTTAACCTTCTAACTAACAGGTGTGTGGTTAGCAACAGAGTGCCAGAACAAACTACAGACATCGGTGACTGTGAACATATGGTGTGTATTAACGTATGGGTCCAGTACGCAAGCCATCTGGTATTAAACCCACACACATGGCTGCGATGTACACGACGAACTATAGGTGACTGTACGTCTGTGTACGCAGATGGTCTATAAACTCGGCATCGAAACATGCTTATTCCCCAACAAGTGGTGGCGATTACTACGCTAAAGGTTACACAAACATACGCGAACATACCTCGTTGTAGAAGAAGGAGATTGTGCTCGGACTGAGGCGGAAGGACAGTGTCTTCATGAAGGAGATGTAGTACGCCAGAATCTCCTCGTTGGAGAAGTCGTACTTGTGCGTAATGACATTGTTGATGTAGTTGTTGGACATGAAGTAGTCTGTGGGCGTGAGTGTGTGGCGTGGCCAGGGGGGGTGATGTGACAGAGGTTATCCATGAGCACAAACACCACACCTGAGCCCATTCGCTATCGTGCGATCCGCGATACGCTGACACAAAACTTGCCATATGCAGTGTGCATTGAGGAAAAGTAACGGTGGATACTAGGGTTTAGGGTTTGTGTTTAGGGGGTTTAACCCAATATACGTTGCAGCTTTCCGAAAAGCCGACCACTACTCGCATACAGAGCATCCCAATGTCGCTCCTAAATCATAAGCACATCTGAGATTGTGACTATGTAACTGCCGGACTATGGGCACTCTGGAAATATTGATATCACGTCACAGTACAAATCGCAGTATATGTGTACTTCGATATTTCATCATAATACAGGTATAATTGGTTACTAACTCAGCATAAGATATGTATAATTAGTTGCTACTCACCATAATATATGTATACTTCGATATTTCATCATAATACAGGTATAATTGGTTACTAACTCAGCATAATACGTGTATAATTAGTTGCTATCTCACCATAATATATGTATACTTCGTTATTTCATCATAATACTGGTATAATTGGTTACTAACTCATCATAATATATGTATAATTGGTTACTATTTCATCACAATATATGTATAATTGGTTACTATTTTAACACAATATATGTATAATTGGTTACTACCTCATCATAATATATATATAATTGGCTACTTTTTCATCACAATATATGTACAATTGGCTACTAATTCATCATCAGATATGTACATGCAAGGCTAGCGGAACATTCTCAGCCCTCAAGCGATACATCCACTCGGGAAACCTTGACCGCGCCAAAGTACGACGCAAAGTATAGATACACAACAGGCGCTCGGTGGTACAAATCACCTACACATAGATTTCCTACCCCCATTTGTTCATCTTCTGGAAGAGAATGATTATATTTGCTTACTTGTACTTCTGGGTCCAATCTGTGGTATAAACTTGCGTGAACTTTTACACACCTATATTGAACACCTTATAACCAGTCCTATTCCTAGGGGAATGTGGGTGCCAGTGGTATATAACCTTACGATTACTTTTATGGAAGAGTGTGGTGAGACTTCAGAGAATGAACGAACAGACTACCGAGCACTCACAGAAAATAGACATCGTTTGTCGTAAATCCGACATGCGCAGATATGATAGGCATATTTTGTCGTAAATCCGACATGCGCAGATATGATAGGCATCTTTTGTCGTAAATCCGACATGCGTAGACACGACCACGTGTGTCGCAGTCAGACAAGTACAGAATAGTCAGACTGCCACGACGATAGCACTTACACAGCGATGACTCATTACGGATGTTCTCGAAGATGATGTTGAGGCACTGCAGCAGCTGCATCTTGACGTAGGGCACTCCCTTCATATTGAGGAGCTCTAGGAACAGCACAAACAAGTTCTTGTCCAGAAAGAAGCTGTGCAGCGGGATAAGCGCAGTCAAACGGAAACTATGAGACGCCGCTCACCTCCAGGCCTACAGAATACGCGCAGACACCTTTGCAAGGAGAACACAGTATGACTTGGGCATAGCGCTATTGAAGATACAGACGACTTGACAGGGGGTGGGGGCTAAGAACGCTAAGATACACGGTACTACAACATAGACGCCGTGGCGTTGGAGAGAAATATCTATGCCAATGTGTACTTAGAGAACACAGTAAAAATCAATACCAATGTGTGCTTATAGAACATCGATATTAGTGTGTGCTTACAGAAGACAGTAAATACCACTTATATGGCGACATACATATACAATCACAGCCTGTCAAACCTAATACTTCGACTGCTGCGAGAGAGTGTGCATATGTCTGGGCATTGAAATGGTACACAAGACTCCACACTACATAGTAAATCTTTGACTATATAAAACCATGGTTATATCGTACCCAGACCCCCAAAAAGGGCTATACACAACGCAAGAAGCCCTAGAAAGTTATAAATTCCGTCACTTCCATGATACTCAATCTGGTACGTTAATGGTAAACACTTACTCAAAGACACTGGGGTTATTCTGGTCGCCCCACACGAGAATTTCAGCCATGTCCTTCAGTGCCTCCACCACTTTCTGGTCGTCTTGTTGACTGCGCGTCTGCAGATCAATGTACCGTTGGATGACATTATAGGCATCCCTGTGAGCGGTAAAAGGCAGCAAGGTGTCCATGATCTCAATTCACCAGTCAATGAAAATCTAGACGCCACTCGTCATTTACATATATATATATATATATATATATATGAATATATGTTTGTATTTAG